GTATATAAGTCACCGTCTGCCACACCGTGGACCCGGAAAAATGGTAGCACCGCGGTCGGAACGATTTTATTAAATCTTATATGTGTACACTCATCTCGGGACCATTACTCATCGAATGACGTAACAGACAGGCATTAAAAACCTTCCCCTGAGGCTGTAGGAGCGGTACTTACTTACGAGGTTGCATTCAAAGAAACACACACAGACAATATTTTTTTTCCATGGTAGGATTATGCCCCCTAAAGCCACCAATAGGAAAGGATCATTAATTCCGTAACACTCCAAGAATTTACAAAATTTTCAAACCTGGTTTATCTCTGATTCGCTGAATCATTTTTTCATTTTTCGCATTTTTTTGTGATTTTGACGTCCCAGTGCAACGTTTCAACGTCAATACAACGGCCCGGATGCGCTGGAGCATCGAGGAAGTTGATAAGAAGCGGCTTTACCCCAGCTTTTCTTCCTGCACGTGTTTCGCTGATGGAAAAGCAGTATTCGCAGGGTTTCCAAGCTCTGCCTTGGTTTTCCGGTTCCGCACAAACGTTTCTGCAATTTTCAGCATAAGAATTATTTTTGAAGGATGTACCATGTTACCATGTTACCATCTTATAGAAATTTAGCGTTTTTCTCTGTGCGTGTGTGTGTGCTGTCACTTTCGAGACCGGATTCAAGGGCCTTTCCCCTGAATCAAATGCCCCTAATTCTTCGTCATTTGAAAGAATCAAGCCTCCTACGATGGCATTCTCAGAATCTCGTGAAATGACAAGCTTACGTTAAAGTAGGCTTTATTTATTTTGGAGGAACGTGAGGGCTAATTTTCATAATGTGAAAAAATACAAATTCTTTCACTTGCCAGTTACACGCGCGTGTGTGGTCGGTGGGGGGGGGGGGGCGAGGCCCAGAGTTGGCCATTTTTGACGCGAATCCTGACCCGGATACGATTTTTTATAATTTGTTAACTTCAGAAAATTTTTTAGAGCAATTTCTGCGATAGAGAAAGATGTGGTTAGATTTAGAGAAATGATTGCCAACTTTCTTGCCACCGCAGCGCTACTTGTGACGAATAATAGTACGGAATTCGAAATACAAGCCTCAGGATTGGTGGGCCACCAATGTTATTACTATATCAATCATGGTTCCGGTCAGACACTACCTCCAAACGTAAGAGGTCGTTACAAACTACTTACAAAACGAGATATACTAAAGGCCTTACAGGTACACTAAAGTCTCGTTGGTTTGGTTACCGGCCGGTAACCGTCCGCAGCATAGCAAACAGGGTTACGGTAGGCGCTCTCCGCGGAGCAAAACCGAACCCTGACTGCCAGCTTGGGGCAGCGCCTTGTACCACTAGGCCAAGGGAGAGACGGGAAGGGGGGAAGGGGAGAGGCGATACGAAGGGGCTGGGTCGGCTGCGGCAGAGAGCCCAAATTTCCTACCGCGACCGAACTTTTTGAACGAGATTTTAGTGTACCTTTAAACACAGAATCTATCTATCTACTATATATAAATTTCTAATGTCCGTACGCCCGCCGACCGACCGCCCGACCGGGAATTCAGCCAAATTTTGCATTCAAATTCTAAATTCAAATTGTGGGGGCGGGAGAAGGCCAGCGCTGAACCCCCGCGTAGCGGGGGGTCAGCGCTGGTCCTACCTTATATAATTTTGGAGTGTATCTCTGTGTGTGTGTGTGGATGTCACTTTCGAGGCCCGATTTGAGGGCCTTCCCGTGTCCAAAACCGCCCAATTCTTCGTCACCCGGGGGAATCGACCCTCCTCTTTCCGATGGTGTTTTCAGAATTTCGATAAAGTACAAGTTTACAAAGTTAAAGCAGGTTTTACATATTTTTGGGGGTAATTTGCATAATGTGAAAAAAATAGAAATTTCCTCATTCTTCCCAGTTGCACGCGTGTGTGTGGTCGGTAGGGAGAGGAGGGTCCAAAGGACCCGAGCTAAGGAAAAGTCAAATTGTTCATGCAAAGGCCGCATTCCAGCGCCCAAGGCCCGCGAAGCGGGTTTTGGGCGCTGGTTATACATAAATTTTTAATGCTCTTCCCCGCTCCGACCGCGACAGGGAATTCAGCCAAATTATGCATTCAAATCCAAAATTCAAATTATGGCGGGGAGGGGAGGATCAGCGCTGAACCCCCGCGTAGCGGGGAGTTATCGCTGGTTACGATATAAAAATAAATTTGAGCGGGTGACGTCAGGCTGTGCCTACACGGATTACTGTATGAAATTTGTGTCGAAGGTAAGGATTTCTCCAATTCAGGTCCAATTTCTTTCCAGAAGCTTGTTTTCTGGAGCTGCCCCATTCAGAAAAACATTTGTAAAGTAGGTTCTTACATTTGATAACGCCCAAATTATGGCACTTATCTTTAACCCAAATATTCACGGGTTTTTCCAGAATGAAGGCTCATTCAAAGTGATGACCTACGACCCGGAGGATATAAAAAATGTGGCGACAGGCGAGGCTTATTGCTGCTTGGGGAATCGGTGCAACTCGGCCGGAAATATTACACGAATAGTTGCCTTTATATCGATTTTTATCTCAACTTTCGGGGTTTACGCAAATAAAGTTTTAGTGTCGTACGGTTAATCGAATAAACCCAGGAAAAAACACGTACGAAGGACCCTGAACTTTCATCGAATCCTTTGCAAAGCTAATATTAACGCGCATTCCGCGCGAGCCCGGTTTAGCCGCAGAAACATCCCTTCAACTAGACATAGCCATGGTCGAAAAAATGCTTTCATAAATTGTTTTAAAACGAGGTTATGCCTTCCTCCGCGGACCGATCGAAATCCGTCTCTCTGTCGGCTGAAGAATACCGACGCTTACGATGGAAGTGCACGAACCTAAGGAAGCATTTCTTTTTCGAAATAAGTGGGTCCGATAGACTCGAACACGGGGATTCCGAATCTGTAATCAAAATTTGCTGAACGAAACGGAGAGATTTCCTCTGAACCTATCTGTTCCCCTTGAGCAATGTTCGTCCAAATGAAATCTTTGTCGTCCACCACTTGTTCTGCGAGGAATAACTAAAGTATACAATATAATATATTCTGCTAATATCGTTTCAAACCCTCCGTGAGTTTTTTGCCCGGTCACATTTCATCGAAATTTCAGTTATTTTAACCGTCCAAAATTGTCGATCCACGCTGGCCAGATGCGATAAGAGCTGCTTCAAGTCATCACAAAGAAAAAGCGATAGCGTAACGGGTCCAGAACCTAGGAAGCTCCCCGTCCCAAGTTGCATTTTTTCCACTCCGGCAAAAAGGCGTCCACTTTTTTTAAACACTTTTTTTACAAAGTCCATTGTACGAAAGTTTCCTGGCAGCTTATAAAAGGTTTCCCAATAAAAAACACCGGTCTAACTCGACGCAGAAGTATCGGATCGGAATGGTAGTTACGCAACCAAACGGAGGTAACTAAAACACCGCGCCCCCCCCATAAAAAACATTTTTTTTTTTTCTCCCCTTTGTAAAAAACAACTTTTTTTTTTTTTTTTTTTTCGGGGGGGGCAAAAGAGATATTTTCCTGAACTTCCTCCCTTTTGAGACCCCCCGGGGGGGCCCTTATAAGGAAAAAGAAACCGTTCCTTTTAGTTTTTAAAGTGGGTATAAAATGGCGTGTTTAAATAAAAACATGGTGCAAACTCGGCGTTTTAAGGGCTTTCGAATGGCATATGGTTCCGAGCGGACCCTTCACCGTCGAGTTGAAGGTTTTTTTATTGGGAGACGTTGTGGAATAATCAGACATTTTTCCAGCCGCGAAATGATAGCCAACGTGCTGGCCACGGCGCTACTGCTGTCAAACAGCAGCATGGCGCCAGTGGAAGACATCGGCCATCGCTGTAACTATCTGGTGACCCACTCGTCAAGCCAGACCCTTCCTAGCATCGTACGTTTTGATTTTGAAAAATTACAGGAGTGTCTTTTACGCGATACACGGCTACGAAAACAACACGTTTTAGCATCGAACCATCGACTGCCCCTACACGAACTATTGCATAAAGTTTGCCTCTTCGGTAAGTCTTTGTCGAATTTTTGGTCGAGACTAATTCTTGACTAAAAATAAATCTTTATCGAATTTATGCTGTTAAGATTTTTCCGACGTTTTGACAATGACTGGAGACAACTCTTTTTATTTTTAGAAACTCGTCTTCTGGAGTTGCCCGGTCGCTAACAGCGTCTGCGTAAGTTGCAAGGCTCCACAAATCCATGACGGTTGTCCATTAATTTAGTCAAAGTCGGAATTCAAAGTAACGACCTTCGACCCGGAAGATTCGAGTTACACCGCTACCGGAACGGCCTATTGCTGCACCGGGAATCTTTGCAATGGTGCCGGACAGAAGATGACGATTTTTACGCTCTTTTTTGTGGCGGTATCACGTTGGATGTTTTAATAAATATTAAAGCTTTTGAGAGGGAGTAGAAAATTGGGAACAAATAGCTTCCGAAACAAGCTTGCGGGTCTCACGCGAAAATGGGGTTTTTTATCCTGAATTTTCACAGCTCCCTTTCATTTTTATTTTGATGGTTTCAGCATTACGCTTCAGCTCGGAACACACATTTTGGTATACTTTACAGCCCTTCGATTAGGTGTCAATAGAAAGCCAGATAACAAAAATCCAAGAAAGCCCAGGCGTTACTGTCGCATTTCAACACTTACAATCGTAAAATTAGCATAACGATCATGGTAGCATCGCAACTAACTAACCTCCACTCGCCGCTTTTTCTTCGCAGAAGCCGGTCGTATAGGTAATTTTTCAGACCCAAATTCAAAGTTTTCGATTCGAATCAGTGATGTACACCAGTCAGCCGGGGATGAACCCGGTCCCGGGCCCGGCCCCGCAGAGCCAAGCCTCGCAACGCGGCCCCGGTTCGCAGAACCCAAGGCAGCCAAGTGGGTCGTTAGTGTATTTTGGGCTCTTAAAGTTGAGGTATATATACTTTACTATTATTTGCCGTTTTTGTTAATATTTTCGCATTTTAGTGCTCATGCAAGCGCCACAGGCCCCGGTGGGCTGCCCTCCCGGCCTCGAATACCTCACCATCCTCGACCGGGTTGTTGTCGAGCAGGTATACTGTAAATTTAAAGAATTACTGTAACGATTACGGCATTTAGCTATATAGATCATTTCTGATAGAAAGAACAACCATGAAGTATCGCATCTTTATTTTCAGAAAATCGAGGTGTTCGAGGTGATGACGAACTGGGAGACGGCCAACCGCTACGCCATCCACAACGCCAATTGGCAACAGGTAAGGCCTGAAATTTTGTGTATGTCATTGAGTACGTTACACACCTCCTTACACCCAATTCCAGGCCTACATGGCGTTCGAGGAGGACAAGATGAGCTGCGCCAGGCAGTGCTGCCCGAACAAGCGCGGCTACGTGATGCACGTCGTTGACAATTATGGAAGGGTGGGTGGAGAGAGATTTAGATAGAGAGAGAGAGCGTGAGATAGAGAGAGAAAACAAGATATGCAGATTTTCACCTTTAGGAAGTGATGCGTATCACCCGTCCCTTCAAATGTTGCGCCGACATGTACTGGGGGAATGAGACGACCGTCGAGGCGCCGCCCGGAAATGTGGTATATTTCATTTTTTAAGGGCAATTATAACGTATCATAGGTATCAATAATCCGTCAACTGAGCCGATTTCCAGATTGGACGGGTCGTGGAGGACATCGGTTCCCTCGGTTGCTGCTCGCACAAATTTTCCCTGCATATGGATGGGCAGCAGGCGCTGAAGTGGGAGTTTTGCCTTGAGTGGTCCTTCAAAACGTGGATTTTAGAATCGACGGCCCGCTGGACTGCTGCTGTTGCCGGATTTGCAATGTTTGCGGTGATCAGGTCTTCGAGGTAGTTTTTTAGGGTATCAACATGCAGTAATACATCTCTAAAATTCGTTAAAACAAGTAGTTTTTTCAGATCAAGACGATGCAGGGCGAAAAGATTGGCGACATCCGGAAGAAGTGGACCGGTTTCGCGCAGGAGTACTTCACCGACGCCGACACGTTCACCTGCGATTGTGCGTAGTTTTTGTTCATGTTAGGCTTAGGCTTAGGCTTATGATTGGGTTTATGCTCAAAGCCTAGGCTTAGATTTAGGCTTATTGGTTTTTAGTCCCCGTCGACCTGGACGTGCGCATGAAGGCCACCATCCTCGCGGCTACTTTCCTAGTGGTAGAAAATCCGTTTTTCGCTTCATGAAATTCTGTTTTTTTAGGACTTCATGTTCTTCGAGGACAACAATTGATGTGACCTCGTGCCGTGCCCCACCAACCATTAATATTACAAGAAGCTCTTCCCCGGCAATTCGTCAAATGTTAATGACAAGCAACGTGTATTTATTCGCAGTCCTATTTGTGCTCGCTGAATAAAGGGTTTGATTGGGAAGAAGAAAGAGAGAAGGAGAGAGAGCGATAGAGAGAGAGAGAAGGAGCGAGAGAGAGGGAGCGAGAGAGAGATTCGTTTGGATGTCAAATCGTGTGAATTTCTAAATTCTGAAGCCATTCCTGGAATTCTAGGCCGATTTCCATCATTTGTTTTCAAAAGTTTTGCCTTTTATCCCCAAAACTTTCTAATTGTAACTTCCCAGCTCCTCTAAAATGACCAGAAAACCACAGAAACCATTACATGCATCGTTCCGTCGCAATACGTAGTCAGATCTCGTCCAGTATTGTAGAGTAACAGCTAGGCAAACTAAATTTGAGGTTGATTGTCGTTTGGATGTCCGCATTGGTCGCAGAAGCAAGTTTGGAGGCAGCTATATTATATTCCCACCCAGCGAACAGTCTTTTTTATGGGGATCGAGTGACGAGAGATCAGCCTCAAACGAATTGTATAAATAAGGGTAGACTCCGTTCCGAAGCATCAATTCCTTGGTTCCTCCGGATTCGAAGATGAAGACCGCCGTCATCTGCCTCTTGGCTCTCCTGGCGGTGGCGTTGTAGGTGATGCGTATCTACCAGTACCGGCTCCTTTCCATTAGCGGGGGGATCCCAATTTTTCCAAGGCCCCGATTTTTCCAGCATTAATAGGTAAAGCATTTCTGCGCTGTTTTTTTACTACTACTAAAGGTAAAAGGTGGAGAAATTCTTATTGGAAAAACACAAAAAAAACTGTTTTCGGCCGAAATTTCGACAAAAATTTGTGTCTGTGTTTTTTGATTATTTTCCACTTGGATCGAGTTGAATTTTACTCTGAACACTATTAAAATACTTACTTTAATAACGATTACTAGACTTACAAAACAATTTTTGCGAAAAAGACATTTTTACCTTTCTAGTAACTAAATAAACGACTGAAAAAATGACGTTTTAGCGCCGCCCAAGCCACCGCTCCACCGCCGCCACCGACTGGTACGTACTATTACGGCTTCAAACGTTTCAACACACAATCTCAATTTATTCCCCTTTTTTCAGGAAACCCAGCCCCGGTGCAAGGAGCTTCAAACCCGCCTCCGGTTGCTGGACAATCGAACCCGCCTCCGGTTCAGGGAGCTTCCAACCCTCCTCCCGTTCAAGGAGCCTCAAACCCACCACCCCAAGGAGCTTCAAACCCACCTAAGGTCAAGCGAGCTGCTGCCAACCCGCCGCCCGTCCAAGGAGCTTCAAACCCGCCTCCGGTTGCTGGACAATCGAACCCGCCTCCGGTTCAGGGATCCTCTAACCCTCCTCCGGTTCAGGGAGCTTCCAACCCTCCCCCAGTTGCCGGACAGTCCAACCCACCTCCGGTCCAAGGAGCTTCAAACCCACCTAAGGTCAAGCGCGCTGCTGCCAACCCGCCTGCTGCCAACCCGCCTCCAGTCCAGGGAGCTTCCAACCCTCCTCCGGTTGCCGGACAGTCGAACCCTCCCCCGGTCCAAGGAGCTTCTAACCCACCCCCGGTTCGGGAGCCTGAACCCTCGCCCGGTCGTCACTAATGACGCAGGATTGGGATAAATGGATTTATATAAGTGTAAAATGCAAGGCAAGCCGTAAACGCACATAAATCTCAAGCAACACTTTGTCAACCTCCACCTATTTTCCAGCATAATTCCATCAGAATTGCTTATACGATAGCAAGCTGCCTTAAAAGGTGGGGAAAACCGATATAGTTGTCCAAAATGCGTCTATTTCGGTTTTTCCATATCTGTATTTTCACTTGATTTTTCAACGTTTTTTTAGCCTTGTCTCGTGATTTCCATAAAACGTCCTTTATCGATAAAACCCAATTCACGGATCCCAATAACTATCACAAGATGAGGTAGTAAGAAAGCAGAAGAAAGAACGGAATTAGCATCCACCGCATCCGCCACCTCCTCCTCCGCATCCGCCTCCACCTCCACCGCAGCCTCCGCCGCAGCCTCCGCCTCCTCCGCCACATCCGCCACCTCCGCCTCCGCAGCCTCCGCCTCCACCGCAACCTCCACCTCCTCCGCATCCGCCTCCTCCTCCACAACCGCCGCCGCCTCCTCCGCAGCCTCCGCCGCAGCCTCCGCCTCCTCCTCCGCATCCGCCGCCTAAAAAGTACAATATTCGCATTTGAATACACCATGAAATTCTGCGTCATACGTCATGTCACGCAACCGCCACGTTGGTAATTCGGCATTTTCGCGCCTGATAAGAAAACTCATACCTCCTCCTCCACATCCGCCTCCTCCTCCGCAAGATGGGGCCGGAGCAGGGCAGGGTGGTGGGCAAGGTGGTGGGCAACAGCATGGTGGGGGTGGGCAAGGCGGGGGGCATGGGGGAGGGCAAGGCGGCGGGCAGCAGCCTCCACCTCCACCCCCACCTCCGCAACCTCCGCCTCCTCCGCCGCATCCGCCTCCGCAGCCGCCACCACCGCCGCCACCTCCGAAGAGGAACCGCTTGGCGCGGAGGTGAACTTCGTTGGACCCGACGGCCGGCATGGGCTCGAGGAAGGCGAGGGCCGGGATGGCCAGTAGGGCCAACGTCACGATGACGTGCCTCATCCTGGAAGTGCCTGGGTGGGGGATATAAAGAGATAGCAGAGAGAGAGAGAGAGAGAGAGAGAGAGAGAGAGAGAGATACGGAAAGCTAGGCAGAATGGCAGAGTTTTTAGCACAGGAATTTTTGAGGCGCATGTCCAGGGAGTCGTACTCACACACTTAAAGGAACGGGGATTCTCTTTTTGGCGCAGTCTCTCTACGTCAATAGGTGGATACTATTGATTAAATTTAAAGTTTGAGCAACCTTAAAAAAAAAATAAAAATAATCCTTCGAATTTTGGTTCAGCTTCTAATTTTGAGAGTTTTCCATTGAAAAACATTTACAAACACCCCAAAACCCCTCCGGCCTGGGCGCGGAATGCGCCTGCATGAAAATTGACTCCCGATAGCCGGGCCCTCGGACCCCTTCCCCCACCGCCACACACGCGAGTCAACTGGCAAAATGAGGAAATTGTATTCCGCATTATGCAAATCCCTCAGGGACCCCAAAAATGAATAAAACCGGCTTAACTTTGTAACTTGTATTATATCGAAATTCTGACAACGCCATCGGAAACAGAAGGGTCGTCCCGTGACGGAATAGGGCATTTATGCACGGGGGCCCTCAATCGGGCCTCGAAGTGACATCCACACACAAACAATACGCTATTGGTGGTACTTTACCGATCTAGTTTAAATTTTTGAGTAAACTGAGTAAACCCAGAGCTCGGAAGCTCCTAATTTCTAGAGTTTTACATTGAAAAACATTTACAAACGCCTAACCGATCTAGCTGAAATTTTGAGGCAATTAAATGGCGTTTTTTCAGGGGGCAAAACGACGTTTTCCCAAAACAATACTTTAAACGACCGGAACGTGAACGTTACCAATTGAGAAAACGCATGGATACCGTAACCATCAAACAACACAAACGGTAACTGGTCTCAGCCCCTTTCTACCCCCTTAAATACCCCGGGGGCAGGGTGCGTGTGGATAGACAACGGGCGGAACTGGCAGTTCTGCCATAGAGCCCTCTTCCTCCTTTTCCGGGAGTCGAGTAGAGCGAGTTGTTTGTCTGTCCGTCGCCATGTGCTTCTGTCACTTTTGGAAAGGCAGCTACTACGCAGGCCGCGGGGGTACCCTTTGACCGTGATCACTTAAGGAAAATAGCTAATAGGATTAAAGGGAGGGTCAGCTTTTGTTTTCGAGAACGGTTGGAGGGGAAAACGAATTTAGCGTGACCGTATTGAGAACATTAGGTCTTGACGTTAATGCTGACCGAGCCGAAATTCGCGTCGAGTTATGAGTCCGACAAATGATGTTTTTTGCTACTCTCTCTCTCTCTCTCTCTCTCTCTCTCTCTCTCTCTCTCTCGTCTCTCTCCGGCTTTTTATCTATGCATGTTAATCCAAATCAACGCTTCAATTAACCGATATTTATTAAAAAATATACACTCTGTATAAACTGCTTCACCACCTTCGATTTTCTCAAAAGTTTTTGTACACCCCCTCGTAGCTCGGAGGAACATCAGCATTGACTCCTGAGGATTGCCGACCCTGCCGAGGCTCGAGAAATCTCGATCCAGACGCTGGTCGATTTCCTATTTCGGCAGGTGGTTGTTCGATGCGGCTCTGCCCGCCAATACGCCCCTCCAACCAAAACGTCTCCATCACGCCTTTGCCCTAGCAAGAATTATGTTATTTTTTCTTGAATTTGCAAGTACGTGAGGTGGAAGAACGCCTATTTTTGCATATGATAGCTCACCTTAATCATCACTTCTCCCCTCGGTTCCATCTCATAACCACCGATTCGGCTCAATAAAGCTGCCGCATCGGACGACATATGGATTTTTCCGGCTAAAATACGGTAGAGTACGTCGTGAAAATGCTTACGCTTTCCATTACTTTCCATTCGAGAAGCTGTATTGACCGTGTCACCAAAGAGACAATACCTAAAAGCGGTTTTCAACTTAACACGATTGAGGGCTTACCTAGGCATTGCCAGCCCAACAACTCCAGCAACACAGGATCCGGAATGCATCCCGATCCTCAGATTGACAGTCTGATTCGGGAGGTGCGGCACTCGGAACATCTTAAAAAATTGTAATCGCTGGCTTTTTTCTTGGCACAAACCTGGACTTCCTTAAAGAAATCCAGCGACATTTCGGCGATATCTTTCACGTGTTGATTGCCATTGCGCTTCGGTAACCCAGAAACACACAGATAACCGTCGCCAATGGTCTCAACCTGGAAAAGAGTGTATTCGCATTAATGGTCAGCCTCAGGTCCTAGACCTGCAGGTAAGAAACCTGAATAGCGGAAAA